TGATAATCGGTGCTATGAACTAATGTCATTGTATAATCCCAACCGTGATTAAAGTCCCCCTCACAGTTTCTTTCTTTCATGCATTTATGCCGGGTTTTTCTTATGCAGGATAAGCTTACTGAAGACATGGAAGGTTTCATGGACAAAGGTCAAGAAAAATGGTTCCAACGTGGAAAGTTGCACGTGTACCTACACCAGTGTTCAAGCTGAGGAATCACATTGACTTGAACTTATGGAATACACATTTATGTAACAAGTCTGATCCAAACAGATCACTCTAACTTTTACTTAAAGAACACTGGTTCAAAAGAGAAATAGGTTCGAAATTTGACATTGTCATGTTTGTAAATGTTTTATACCAAAATATTCATTCTAATGCGCTGATGGGGAAGGGCTCTTATTCACACTTTTAGCCTTTTCTTTTGACTTTCATTTTGTACGACTCTCACTTCTTAATTTGATAGACTCCTTACAAGAAACAAATAAAATGTACCCAAAAAAGTCCCCAACTTGCTCAATATTTTAGTAGGATCATCAAACGGTGGAGGCATTTTTCCCAAGCAGTGAAAGAAAGCAGAGGGTGGTGATCCTGATTACTTGACATTAACAAACGTACAGAGCATAGTTTTAATAGGCAAACATGAAATATCTCGCTCATAACAATGTAGATCACCAGCTTGCCTCTGATGAACTTAATATGCTGAAACTCGAGAGATAAATAATTTCTGAAAGACCAAACTTCAGCAAGATAAGGATGGCGGATGAGACTTGGGTTAGGATCTGGGTTCTAAGAATTTTGTTGTGATAGCCCGCTGACAGCAAACCGCAGTTAAACTTTCCAGATATTAAATTTTGACTTTTGCTTGTGCCTTAGAAGAACACTGCAAGAAATGAAAATAATTGAAACTTGTGAGCTATGCTACTTTCAGATCAGCGTAACAAGTGAAAAACACAACAGAAGGAACTTGTCTGGAATTAAAGCACTTGCCATAAAACCATCCGGTCGATGCAGTCAAGCTTTTGAAACTCTACTATCTGCAATCGTCCACAAAACGATCACATTCCAACTCCAGATTTGCAGCAGCTTCGAGCAGTCAAACTTTTAAGCTTTTATTTCAAACTTGCTTTCCCAAGAGTTCTACAGGTGCAGGCCACAGAAAGAGTTCAAAACCCTCTTTAAGTCTCGCAATCTTGAAGCTGTTCCTATTACCAATAGTCCCCACAAAAACAAAGCACCATCTCTGAAGTGATATAAACGATTCACATCTCTCACAACTATTTCTCATCCATAGATTTTAGATATGAACTTGATAACCGTGTGATAGTCCCCACAGATTTGCAGGTTTTTAGTTACATGAAGAGCTATTTGAGGAATGTGTTCAGTAGTCCAAAACCAATTGCCAGCTTTTCACTGTGAGGTTATGCTGTTTCTCTTCTTTACTAATGTCATGCAACACAAAACTGGCATTAGATACATAACCAGCTGCTTTGATTTTTTCCAGCAATGCTTCCAACAGGCTATATATTTCCTTCGCCTGAGGGTGAGATGCATCTCCACCAAGGAACAAGTGTGCTTTTCCATTAATCTCAGTCCAACTGCATCCAGGGTTCTTCTTAACGCCTTGACATTTTAAATGAGCCCTCAATTTATCCGCCTCCTTCCACATGCCAGCTTCAGCATACAAATTTGAAAGCATAACATAGTTACCACTGTTTTCTGGTTCTAAAACAAACAGCTCCTTTGCTGCCATCTCAGCAATCTCTAAATTTTTACTCTTCTGACAAGCAGCTAACAATGCACCCCAAATGCTTGGTCCCAGCTGCGTTGGAATTTTATTAATAAACTCCATAGCTTCTACCAATCGCCCAGCACGACCAAAAAGATCTACAACACAAGCATAATGCTCAAGTCTCGGTTCCACAGAGTACACTGTTTGCATAGAATTAAAGTACTTCAACCCAAACTCAACAAGACCAGAATGACTACACCCAGACAACAACCCTGTGAATGTGATCGCATCAGGGTGTACCCCAGCTCTAATCATGTTATCAAAAGTTGACACACATTCCATGCCGCGACCATGAGATGCATAAGCAGAAATCATGGCATTCCAAGCACACAAATTCTTTTCATTTTCCCGAATTCTATCAAAACAACAACGAGCATCAACAAGGCTACCACATGCCGCATACATTGCAATAAGTGCATTCTGCACTGAAGGATTTGACTCCAAACCAATCCTATTAACATATTCATTAATCCGTCTCCCGCGTTCAAGAGCAGCTGAATGTGCACAAGCAGGCAAAACACTCATTATTGTTACCCAATTGGGCTTAACCTCAGATTCTTCTTTCATCATCTCATCAAACAAACTCAATGCCTCCTTAGCCAACCCGTTTTGCGTGTAACCCGAAATCATAACTGTCCAAGAAACTACATTCCTACGCGGCATTCTCCCAAACAAGCCCTCAGCTACTCCAATCTCCCCTTCTTTCATATAACCCGCAATCAAAGCGTTCCAAGAGGACACCGCTCTCACAGTCATAAGATCAAACACCTTTTTGGCATCCCGTATTTCACCTATTTTTACATAAAAATCAATCAAAGAAGTGCCAACATATATATCAAGCTCCATCCCAAATCTCAAACTTTGTCCATGAACACATTTACCCATCCAGCCATTCAATACATTGGCGCATGATTTAAGCACAAAGGGAAACGTAAAATTATCACCCTTAAGCCCTAAATAATGCATTTTACAATAAATATCTACAGTTTTTAAAGGATACCCACAATTTGTATAAGCTCTAATAATTGAATTATATAACAAAGAAGTTGGGCTTTTGATTTTATTGAATATTGTTACAGCTGATTCAAGATCACCCGAACTTGCATACATAGCAACCATTTTGGCACCAAGAAAAGCATTGGGTTGGAGCCCATGAAGGGTCATGTGGGAATGGATTTGTTGGCCTAATTTTAAGTAGTTTCGAGCAGTTAAGAATTGGAAAAGGGGTGCATAGGATGAATGGTGAGGTGCGTTTTGGTTTGATATGGGTTGTAAGAGAGTTTGCAAGGTTGATGTGTACGGAAAGGGCTTTGGAATTGTGCATTTTGGTTGTGAAAAATCAATGTGGGATTGAATTAGAGGTAAAAGAGTTTCAGGTTGTGGTGGTTTGGGAAGTACTGTCGTTGATGAAGAGAGTCCGCCGCGAAGCATTGGAAGGGAAGGGTGCTTAGGAAGGTAACGTTTTCAGGGGACTGCTTACGTTCGATTACAAAATATTTCTTTTATTTTGTTTAGTTTGTTATTTGTTAAGATTTGATTATAAAGTAAAAACAAATGTGTTACGTTTAAAAATAAACAGTATTAAAGATAAATAATTCAATATCTTAAAGAAAATAACAAGATTTTCATTGATAACAAAAGGTATGATTTCTACTTTTCTATGAAATATTTATGGTTGAATCAATATTGCCTTTTTAAATATTGGCTCATATTTTAAAATAACAGATATGCTTTTCATTTTTTTCTCAAATACAACTTTAAAAAATAAAAAAATTAAAATCAACTTTAACCCGAAAAAATGCCTCTTAAGTGTAATGTTTATATAACCAACGCACATCCATCTCTTAGTAATGTAAGATTCATAACATTTTATCTCATTTAATTGTGTAAAATTTTTATTGTACTGAGTCTTTACACGTGGAGAAGAGTGACTCTTCAATTAATTTAAGTTTATCTCGATCTTTATATCTCTCATAAAAATCCACATTAATAACGATACGACTACTTTAATACTAAATGTCACAGATCAAAATTTAAGTTGTGATCTTAAATTCTAAAAATAAAATTTGAACTTAAACCTAACTTTATGCAATTTTAAACTATGAAAAGATTAAAAATTCAGATTTAACTTTGTGCAACCTTAAAACTTAAACTCTGAAAATAAAGGTTAAATAAACTTATAAATTAGTACCCACATTCTCAATCCAAAAAAATATATCTATAAGGGATAAAATATTTATATTTATATATTTAAAACTCGCTTCATTTCTGATTGACTCATTTCTGATTGACGTGAAATCTATAACATATACACACTAAATAGTATTAATCAAATATTGAGATGCATTTTTTTTTGTTGAAAAGTCTAATGACTCTTGCCGGTATACATGCTGATTATTGCATTACAAGAGAATTGGGTAGCTTAGTTCAGCTTAGAAAAATCAGAATAATCGATGTAACTGGCGAGAATATTGGTGAAGTCTTTGCCTCCATGGGCGAGATGCAGGGCCGTCTATATTTGTCTATAATGGGCAAATATGTTCACTCCCAACTAGTTATTGTCCTTTCATAGCACTGTTAGGAAACTGCGCGTAGACGGGCTCCTACAAAAGCTACCACAGTGGCTTGGCTCGATGAAAATGCTACCCAAAATCAAACCAAGTTTCTGTTACCTGTTTGAGAACCCAATGTTGGTGCTTCATCTACTACTTAATTTGACGATGTTAAACTTGTGCCAGACTTATGTTGCAAAGCAGTTAGGGAAAGATTTTTTGTAGGGTTGGCTGGTTTCCCAAGCTTGAAATTTCTTCAGATTGCTTCCGATGTTTTGGGGGAATGGACAGAGATTGAAAAGGGAGCACTACCAAGTTTGAACTGCCTCCATTTTCGTTGCTGTTCAAAACTGAGTATGCTCCATGAAAGACTGTAGTTTGTAACCGGATTGAAGCATTTATATTTGCTGCGTGATGATCACATGAAAGACTGAAACCTGATAATAAGAGATTTGACAAGTCATTTAATACTTAACCGCTTCCACTTCCAATCCAACTAAGCCCTGGTACTTTTCTTACTCCCCGCTCTGCTATGTCATCTCTTAACTTCTGCACATCATCCCACCTCCCATCACCAGCATAGATGTTAGAAAGCATAACTCTATAAGCAGCTTTTTTTGGTTCATTTGCCAATAGTTGCTGGGATACAACTTCTGCCAACTCAGAATTTCCATGACCATTGCAGCATGATAGCATCGCTCCCCATATGCTAGAGTCCACCGGCTTTGGCAAGCACATGATAAAATTGTATGCCTTTTCCAACTCTCCAGCCATTCCAAGAAGCTTCACCATGTGAACATAATGCTCTGTTCTAGGTTGGATGAAAAACTCATATTTCATCCTCCTGAAAATTTCCCAACCATCGTTGAGAAGGCCAACATGGCAACAAGCAGTAAGAAGGGCAGAGAAGGTTGAATCATCAGGTTTTAGTCCAACCAGTAGCATCTCATCAAACATCTTGAATGCTTGGTAAGCCATTCCATTCAATCCAAGACCTGAAATAAGACAATTGTAAGATATTGTACTTCTTTCCGGCATAATCTCAAACACACTGATCCCCAAGCACATAAATCCACACTTAAAATACATGTCTATCAGAGCAGAAGAAACCATGACATTTGATTCAAATCCATGTCGAACAATATAACCATGTATCTCACTTCCAAACCGTGCATTTGTTGATCGAGCAGCGGCCTCCAACACAGCAGAGATTAGAATGGGATCTGCTTTCTTACCCATCTCCATGTTCAGTTTCCAAAAGTAGAGCAATGCCTTACCATATTCCCCGCACTGAGAATATCCAGTTATCAGAGAAGACCATGCAACTAAATCAGGCTGAAGCAAACTACTAAACACAATGTTTGCCGAATCCATGCACTTAAACCTTGAATACATGCTTACAAGTGAACTTCCCACATGAACAGTACGATCAAACCCGCTTTTCAAACAAAAACCATGAAGTCCTTGACCAACACTCAACAAGTCGGGGGAATCTACTAACCCTGATATCAGCCCTACCAAAGTATACCCATCTGGCTGTTGCCCCATATTTCTCATCCAACTAAACAATTCTAACCCTTTATTACAAAGGCCACAATGCCCATATCCCGAAACCATAGAATTCCACAAAGCCAAATCCTTCTCAGGCATCCTATAAAAAACCTTGCCTGCTTCATCAACCAGGTACAGTTTTGAATACCCAGTCACAAGAGCACTGCCACAGATGAAATCCAATCCTAACCCGGAAACAATCACTCTTGTATGAACAAGTCTCATCACATCCAAATCAAAGTTCTCACAGCAAGCTCGTACGACACACGCGTACGTGAAGTTATCGGGTTTCGTTTCCGTTCCCAGCATCCTTTCGAACAATGACAAGGCATCGTTGAACTTGAGGGCTCGTGCATAAGCTCGAATGATGGAATTCCAAAGGAAAACGCTTCTTTCAGGTGTTTCATCGAACAGGCTGTGGGCGGAGCAAAGATCATCGTTGAGCGCGTAGAATCTGACGAGCTTGGTGGCGAAAAATGGGTCAAGGGAGAGGCGTGTTTTGGCGATTAAAGCGTGGATTTGTTTGGTTTTAAGAATTGTCTGATGAGGCTTTGAGAGCTCTGATAGAAGTGAGTGAATTTGAAAGAGCATTTCAATTTGACACTGGGCTGTAAAATACTTCACGCTTAACCATCATCTGCGTATAACTAAATTCCTCCAAGATGTTTCTTCTCGTAGGAATGCTGTCGTGTTGACTTCTATCACAGAAAGAAACATGGTTCCGTATGCCCTCTAATACAAGCAAAGTTTTATACGTCTACCATTAAATGTTATTATATGTTTTATCGTTTAAATTATAATATAACATTTCAAAGTAATAAAGTTAACCTAAATAAGGTAATTAAATATAGTGTTGATGTCAATTAATAAATAATATTTTTATATTTTAACATAAAAAATAAAATTAAACATAAAAATTACATAACATTTAACATAAAATGGATGAAGTCTACTTTCATCACTTTATTAGTACTTATGATAAAATCCAATTAATAAAATAAATTACATTACAAATGGGATCCTCGTATTGTACTCCTCATAACATTAATGAATATCCATAATAAATATAAAATCGTTCATAACTTTAGATAAGAATACTGATCAGGACCCCACATTGTTTCTCTATTAAAATAGAGATATTAACTGCTCGCTTCCGAAGCCACTGCATTGTCGGACAAAAGACAGTGCACAAAGCACATCCATAGCTTTCTTCGTCGGCTTTAAGCCTGGTCCAAGTTTGTGTTGAAAAATAGAGTATTTTATAAAGTTCAAATATCTTACATTATTAAAATATTTAAAAAGTGAAAACTTTATATATAAAAACACTCCATGAGTTTATTATAAATAAAAAAAAATAAAATGAATTCGCACGTACACAAACAAAAAAAAAGACAATGCACAAAGTACATCCATAGCTTTCTTCGTCGGCTTTAAGCCTGGTCCAAGTTCGTTGGAGGGACAATGATTGTGCCAGTTTCCATCATCTGCCGGAAATGTTGATTAAGCTCCGGAGTCAGATTAAGGCTGACTTGCAGAATTGAGGGAATTGTATTCAGAACCGAATTTTTACTGGCTAATTCACCGGTGGCAGGTCTGCAAACAAATTACAGAAGAGTTATATATATTTATATCAAGAGCAGAAGTAATTTATGTTAATTGTTGGAAGAAAGATTAGGAAGAGAATAATTGCTTACCGTGGAGATGTTACAATAGAGACCAACTCCATTCCTTCTCCATTCGCTGAGAAGGTGACCATGAAAAAACTTGGCACAACAAATATTTGGCCAGTCTCAACTATGGTGTTCAAACAAAGCTTGCCTTGAAGACCGACAATTTGTACTTGACCACTTCCTTTTGCAACGTAGAATACTTGTGCATCAGATGCATAGGCCGGTGCTCGAGTGGCATTGGGTTCAAGTACCAAGCGAGTTACATTTAGCCCGACTTCTCCAAGAAAAGGAAATTTAGTTCCTGTCAGCGTGGTGGATTTGCCTCCATTCTTGACTTGAACATCAGGAGATGCACTATCAATGTTCTGGGTCCAAATGTTTACGAGGTCCTCGGAAGGCTTCGGGATGCCTTCTGCTTCTTCTTGGCCAAGCTTCTTGAAAAAAACGCTCTGTTGGCTATCGGCAAGCTTTTGTGCTTTTTCCACATTGATATGGTAAGTTCTTGCTATGAATTCAGGAGAGAAAGCTGCCAAGTGACCCTGAGGTCCTGCTAACAAGAAGTAGGTAATTTCACCAGGAACGTAGGCCCTAGTAGTATCACCCAGGAACACTATAACCACATCGGAATTTCCATAATTATACCACCATGAAACTGATCCGAGTGGAACTGGTATTATGTCCCCTTTCTTAAGGCCTATGAAAGCCATCTTATCCTTTGGGTCGGCCGCTAATTTCAGTCCAACTCCACAATTACCTAAGAAAAATAAGATCATCAAAGTTTCTGTAAGATCTCCTGCTGAATTATTATATATGCAATAATGAAGGTAGGGGACGTGGGAGGAAATAAACAAAAAATAATACTATTTGATCCTATACTTTTGTCTTTATTGCGTGTGTATATATATATATATATATATATGTATATATTTGATGTGATAAAATTTTATTCAATTTACGGCAAGTCAATTATTTATACGTATAATGCTTAAAATTAAATCAATAAATTTTTGCCACATCATGAGGACAAATATAAAGACAAAAGTGTATGGTCAAGAAGTATTTTCATGAAAGTTTGTTCACTCCTTTTTCTTTATGGAAAATGCTTATATATTGACAAGAGACCAAAAATTTATCAGTTCAATTTTAAGCATTACACTTTTGAATAAAATTTTTTAAAAAAATATTTATTTATTCATCCATTATCCGTAACTCTTTTAACTTGTTCGACAGAAAACTTGTGGAGGTATGAAAGGATTGGTGTGGGCAAGAGAGCTGAATTGGTAGATCTGCCCTTTTCATAACCTTATCAGGGGAAAAAATGTTAAAAGAGAAAATCTCTCTCCGCCTTGTTAGTGGGCAAATATTACTATAAGAGGAGGGATTCATAGGAATCCATTTATATCGGTGTAAAATTTATTGAGTTTTACTCCGTTTCACATATAGTTTTATACAACTTTTATTTCATTAATCCAATCATTAATTTTCATACTCTATATATGTATAAATTGAGCATATAAATTTTTAAATTAATTAAAAATGGTTATACACTTTTTTACTATAAAAGTTTTTAATGGTTATATGTATATTATAGTATAAGATATTCTTGATTGATGTGATATAGATTTCAGATTGACTTAAAAACTTGCATACATGATAAGCATTAAGATATTGTTAAATCTAAAGGTTGGTTTCTTAAAATATTATCCTCACAAAAAAATATAAAATGGTGTAATGTTACATCGGTATAACTTAAATTATTTTCTTAAGTCATAAAATTTTTTATTAAAGTTCCAAAATCAGGACAATTGAATGAAAAGAAAACACATCCCATAACATAACAAATCATATTAATTTATTGAAAGAGTTTCCGCAACTTGAAAGATATTTGCAATGATCAAACACCCATTGGATGAGCATTGTCTGATTTGACAAATGAAAACGATTCTTTCTAATCAAATTGACTCACAAGATATCTCTGGTACTGCAAATTTAACAGTATACAACCCAACCTAATTAGAATCGAAAGGGAGAGACTGATGTGATCGTAATATAGAAGATAATATGAGAATGGAAAAACAAAGAAACTAAACAAATTTTTAATTCATAGATCAACTCTTTGGGCAACAAAAGAAAAAACAGGCTTGACATACCTTCAAGAACATAACCGACTTTGGAGCAATCCGAATAATGGGGAAGAGCGAAACCCCGAGGCTTCAAAACAAGCTTACCGGCAGCAACTTGGGCCTCTCGGAGCATCGGAGAGTCAGCACTTGCCCAGTTGTAGTATCCACCGCCTTCTCCCTCAGCAAATGTTCGGGGAAACTTGGGAGATAAGTCCACGTTCATAGCTTTTTGCGCTTGCTTATTAATTCTGCAGAGTAACACAATATGTATCAAATACCCAGAAAAGAGATAAAACTGTATGCTCTCCTTAACTGACAATTTATATGTTCAGTTTTTATCTGGTTACAGATTCTGGGACTGGGAGGGCTCAACTTGTATATATAGAGAAATTAGCTGCGAATGCCAACTTGGGAAAAAAATAGTGCTCAAGAAGCACACGTTAACCTCATCAAAATAACTCGTTGAGTAAATGAGCATTACCTAAAGCTTATTTGCGTTTGACCTTGACCCGTTTTCATTACAAAAAGGGCCAATGATCCAAAAATATTTATTGGTAATACTACTATGACAAGAAATTTATGAAAAAGGAAATGAAAATTTGGAAAATTTACTAAGCAGGATGTTTTGATTACCATTTTACCCTTAATTATTTTTTTGTCAATTTAAAGAAAGAGAAGAGAAAAAAAGGGTGTCAATAGCCTTCGGTGACTTCTTTTGCAGTGCTTGCTCATCTCAGGAAGTTTGCTGATGCCAGTTTTTGATAAAAGAAAGAAAAAAGGATAGAAAAAAAAGAGAAAAATAATAAAAAATATATATTTATATATATAAAAAAGAAGAGAAGAGTGAAAAAGAGGAAAAGGCCAAAAGTAAATAGAAAATATTCTTTTAATATTTAAGGTCCTTTCATTATTGAGCTGAACGCTTGCAGCGTCGTTGGCTGCACCTTCTGCCTGTATGCGCTGGGTTTGAGTCCTTTTTTTCTGTCTAACCTCCGGTTCCTTTAACTTGTGGGAACCTGGGGTGATTTTGCTGATTCTGCTTTTTGGCAGGATAAGCAGAGAATGCCCTAGAGCCTGGACGTGATCCACCCTCTCCGGGTGCTGTTGTCCCCTGTTTGTTGCCAAACACTCTTTTGGCTCGTTTGGTATGTCAAATAGTTAAGCCATTCTTCTTTTATTTTTTTGTTTGGTTGGATTTCGAGGTAATATTGGTTCAGCCATTCCCCACCTTTCCGTTAACGATTACGAAATGGAGTCCAAAATTTATTGAACAAAAATTTTTTTATTTATTGAAAATAATTATAACTTATAAATAGAAAATAAAAATTATATTAATAATTTAATAATAAATTATTAATGTTTAAGATTTTAATGAAAATAGAAATTGAAAGATTAAAAAATACAAATACAAATAAAAAATCATATTAATAATTTAGTAATAAATTATTAACATTTTAAAAATTTAATGACAATAAAATTAAAAGATTAAAAAGAAAAAATATTATTAAATTATAATAATGACTAATTTTATCTAATTTACTAAATTATAACAAAAAATAATTTTGTTATTTTATCATTTATTTTTCAACTATTTCAAAATAAATTTCATCCATCAAACATTAAAATGAATTATAATAATAATTTTATCATATTTTATTTTATAAATCAAATTGTATAATAATAATTATTTTTTATAAAATAATTATTTTATTCTATTTTACTTTTTTCTATTCTATTTCTCCAACCAAGCGTTCCTTCTCCAAGGTGCAAGTGACTCGCCGTTTTTGAATGGTTGTTGATTTCGTGTAAAGTTGTCAAAAAGGAATATTGCAACTGATATTTTGCAAATTGTACTGGTTTTGCCCGAGCCGGTTGCTTGTCATATCATAGGGAGTCTTCGGCAACAATAGCCTTGGGCTTTCAATGGCATTGACCAAATAGCCGAGGTTAAGAAAATCATCTTGAAAAAATAGCCTTCGATGGCGTCTATAGCAACAAACTTTAAATACATCAGCAACTAATGATGATCATGTCACAAATAAAATAAGCATTCGCTTCGTTTTGATTTTAAAATTTTAAAACTTGAATTAATTAAATTTTTATAAAAATAATTAAAATTAATCAAATTATATTTTAAATAAAAAATAATCAAAATCAATATATTTTAATCAGATTCAAATTATTAATAATATTTATATATAAATAATATATTTAAAAAATACTTAATATTTCAATAGAATTTCACTAATAAAGTTTAAATATTTTTTTGGGTTTAGGGTTTAGGGTTTAGGGTTTAGATTTTTTTGTTCAATGATATATATATTATTAATTATCAATTTTTCAATCAATTTGATTGTAAATTTTAAATACTAAAAATCTACCGGTGTAATGAAAATATCACCATATTGAAAAAATTAAATCGAATTAATCAAATTTAATTAATTTAAATCAATTATTTTAATTTACATCAATTAATACTCACCCCTAATATCGGATTTAGTTTTTACCTTTTTTTTTTCTCTTTCTTTGTTCTTTCTCAATTTCTTCCCCTTCTTTCTTTTTCTTTCCTCCCTTCTGGCCACTAATGCCACACCAACTTTTCCCCCCTTTCCTCTCTCTTTACGCAACTGAACTTTGAAAAACGTAATTGAAAAGCATAAGGACAAAAAGGTCATTGTAGTTTCCATATTAGAAAATGATCGAAGTTCCATTTTCCTCCTCAATAAATTCTTTTTGCCATAGTAATAATCCATAAATATTTTTAATTCATTGGCCTTTTCAACAATGCCCTGAAGAAAAAGTTAGCCGACTTCTAAATGTAGTGTTCAAGAGATTCACGACCTGTTGTCTCCGTACCACACCTTTTGCACATGACAACATCTCAATATCTGACAACGTTAGTACAAAGAGTCTTGCTTTGTTTTATTTTTTTTAAATATAGATATATTTTTTGGCCTCTATTCAAACTGTCATAAATACAAAACCGCATACCTAGGCATTCCTAGTTCCAAAATGTCAAAGGGAAAAGAGCCTTATCTGTTTGGTAATAATGAAGCCTACCACGTGGATTTTGTCAACCAATGTCAATTGATTTCCAATGCCAAAAATTGCTGTCATTACGTTGCAATATTCTAAAAGATAATGATTTTATAGCACATGCTTCTCGGATTTTGTAAGAGAGGAAAATAAATTGAATCCTCGATAGAGGTCAACAACCAGGGAAATAATAAAAAATTATATTCAACGAAATTGAGAATTTCAAATTAATGAATTATTAGATATCTCAGCAAGAATTTAAGATTCTTACAAACAAGTTTTGTATGGGATTAATCCTATCTTATTACTAGGAATTTTCAAATAAAAAATTTATTTTTTCTTATATAATTTAATATCTAATTAACGATACAATTGACAAGTAATTATCATATTCTTTTATGAATGATGTGATAATGATTCTATCACTACACAATTTAAAATTTACTTAATATATTATGTTTTGTTGGTATTCTTTTAAATAAAATAATTAAATATATTAATCAAATAAAATTTAATTAATGTATAAGATTAAGGTGGTTTAATAAATTATCCCTTCTAAACGAGGTTTCGATGTTCTAATAAAATTATATAATGATTTGAAAATGAAAAATCAGTAGAGCATGGGTCGTCTTCTTCGAGGCTTGCCAAGATACGCCTGGCTTTCATCGCAAGTGATGGGATACCTTATCTGCACTTATTTCTTTCTGAATTTCTCATTATTAATCTAAAAATTAATTCAATAATTATCCTTATTTTTTTAACGAAATTACAAAGAAAACTAGTGAAGATACGAAAATGGCCGATTTTGATTAGAGATGGTTAAAAAAAAAAAACACTTGTTCTCGACGGATTCCATTAAGTTATGAAAGGATGAATTATTTGGTTGAAAAACAAGGATCAAAATGAATCGAGTCAACTCGAGTCAACATGTAATTAATTAATTAATTAGTATATGATTTGATTTCTTTTTTTTTAATTATAAAAAAAAAAACTCTATCGACATTCTTTACCATGTGTGGGATACATGATCTTTTCTAATCTCGTTGCTCATCTCGAAAGGCGTCGCCATCTCGAGCACCAGCAGCACGCCAAGGAACATGGGCATCACTGGATAAGGATGGTCCTTCTTGGTTTCGTGGTGACAACTAGATTTGCTTTTGGGTTGTAATTTCTGGACAATGTAGACAGGAAGATATTGTATTGATCAATGCCTTGCAACATTTAAGTGAAAAAATATAATACAATATTGAGTGTGAACAAATTATATTAAATTTGACCAATCATTCATTTTACTTTTTCTACGTTCTTTACCATACTAGAAATGTTAAACAATATTTTTGAATTTCAAATATCACTCTCAACTTTATAATCATAAAGTTTTAAATATATGAGTTTTATAATGACATAAAAATAAAATTGATAGAATTTTGAGTGTTATATATGTATTTAAAATCAATCTCTACACTTACCTTAAATTAGAATTTATATTCATATAAAAGGAAAGATTTTAAATTCATAGCCAAAAATTGAAAAATTTTAAGTTGTGGCGAAAAAAAAAAGGAAGAAAATGATGATTTTTGTTCATTTTTTTATTAAAATATGTGAATTTTAACTTTCGCATGTAAGGAAAACGACCCTTTGGTTATGCAGCGCCACTGCAGATTTGAGGACAAGAGTCTTGTTTGGCTATGCCTTTAGGTTTTGGCCTTTATAATTAAAAACTTGTGATTCTTTCAAAGTTGTTATTTCAAGAGGTTCTTTTGTTTTGTTTTGGGGGAAGAAGAGTTCTTCTTCGCCAGGTACTTGGGCAGTACGATGTTGGTCTATGTTCACATGCCTGGGCCAATGAACCGACATGGCTGTCCTCACCGATGACATTAGCATTTAGCTCCACGTTTGAAACAGGCAAAATGAGGGCAGACTGCCGATTTCTTTTGCGAGTGTTTTGATATTGTAGGAGTATTCTCTAAAATTTAATTCATATTAAGCAACTAAATGGTTTGATTAAAGAGATAAATGGTATCCTAATTAAGCTTTGCTTCAGTTATAGTCAAAACCAGTGGCAAGATTGAGACTGGTGTCGAAGCACTAGAAAGCAGGAAGGAGGAGATCCTTGTTGGCTGGGCAGCACCTCCACATGGTTGGCTAACCTTAAATTCGGATGGCACTTTTAGAATATTACTAGGCATGGCAGCAGCAGGCGATTGCTTCGGGATTCTAGTGGCAACTGGTTTGGTGGTTTTCTGCAAGGCTTGGGAGTTGGGTTATTGTAAAATTGAACTCCATGTAGATAGCTAACTAGTGGTACAAGCCACCACTTTCCCCATAAGTCATCCACCTTTAAAATCCGATTTGATTAAAGCTATTCAATGATTATTTTAATATCAATAAAAAATCATAACACGACATATATTTAGAAAAAGAAATAGTGTAATCGATTGCTTGGCGAACAAAAACGTTGATATACAAGAGGAGCATACACTTTATGATGTCTTCCTGTAGATACTTGGAAGACTTTTTCATATTGAGAATTAATTTCCCTCTTTTAATTAGAATTTAATAAAATTTATTTTAAAAAAACAAAGATAAATGCTTGAATTACTGTAATTGTTTCATTGTAAGAATATGAAATTTATATTTTCTGAGATGTCAAATTCAAATGCTGGAAAATAAAAACGATTGAGTTAATAATACAAGGAGAGTTATTTATCTTTATCTAATGAATTAAGAGATGAATGCTCGTCTTTTATTTGATATATACATTATAACACCCTTGAGAACATGATATTTTATTTTATCGTGACGGGGTATCGTATATATTTGGACAAAAAATTAGGTTTTGATGAGTCTTGTTAGTTTGCCGGTGTCTGTCGATGAGCATGAAAAGTACTCTATAGAAAAGTGTAAAACCAGAAAACTGGAAGAAGAGAAAACTAACTTCTTATCGAATCAGAAATCTATTACACCTAGTTATACACAAGTTATGCTGTCATCAAAGAAGACAGATCCTACAAATCCTAATTACAAAATAATTAAATATAAAATTAAATATCTATTTACAATTAAACACGTGTATGTATTCAACAGGTCCAGCCTGTAGAGACCAACTCCAGTGGCCTTTTGGTGGTAAAATAAATAACAAAATCTCAGCCGGATTGGTCCTCCTCAGTTTTTCGGCCTTTTTGAAATCAGACCATTTAGGATCCGTTCTGAGTGGGCTATTCTTTCTAGGCCAGAGGCCCAAAGCTGCTGACCATTTAAAATGAACCCACATTTTACAGCCCACTTTTGGAATTTTCGAAATTAAAACAAAGAGAAGAATCAATCACGATGGAAATGAAAGAGGAACGCTAAACAGAGCTAGAATCAAACACTCACTTTGAGTAGGGATGATGGGAGTCCAGGGAAGGAGAAAGATTGCGAAATCATGGAATAAATCATTGAACTAAAAAAATACTAGTATTTACAAAAGAATACTCGTCTCAAACGATTGAATAACGTCTCACTATGATGTCAAATTAACAAATTTGGCAGCCCTTCTAAAATAGAAATGATTAAGCTAGTTTATCATTATTCCAAGTAACCAAGAGCCCTTTACGGATAGATATATAATGCAAGGGGAACTACATCGACAATTCCAATACCGAGATCTTTGAAATGCAAAGACATTAGCTTCGCTTCTTGCAAGTTTCAATGGAAAACGATATTAAGTTATTGATCATTGCAGTCTCGAAACAATGCTAAAGTCTATCCTGTTTTCAACAACCAATTGCATTCCAAGTCACTTGCCATTGATCCTCTCCACAACAGTTATGAGTCCCTGAGTACCAAGCTTCCCATCCCCATTAGCCACCATTGCCGAAAACATCTGTTTACCCAGAGCAGCCCCAGGCAAAACCACCACCTTCCCATCATCATCTTCATGCACAACATCCACACCCAACCCCATATCCTTCACCATATACTCTGCAAACCCACCTGGCTTAAAGTCTCTCCCAATCATTCTCCCTCCATATAACTCCATTGCCATTGACCCTGCGCCTCCTCCCGTAACCGCCTCCATATACTTCCTCAAATCCAACCCAGCTTTCTCCGCAAAAACAAACCCTTCACTTAACCCCATCAAATTAGCCCCCACGATTATTTGGTTCCCAATCTTACAACTCTGCCCACATCCTGCTTCCCCCATGTAAGTAACTCTTCCCATCAAATCAAACAAAGGCTTTAGCCACTCAACCACCGAACTTTCCCCTCCAGCAAAAATAGCCAACTTCCCTTCTCTAGCTCCGATATCACCCCCGGAGACCGGAGCATCAATCGACCAGCAACCCTTTTTACGAGCTGAAGCGTAGATCTCACGTGCCAGTGATGGGCTGCTGCTGGTGTGGTCTACAAGGACGGCACCAGGATTAAGGGTTGAAAGAACACCGTTGGTTTCTAAGACAATTTGCTTGACATCTTGTGGGTTGCCAACCATGGTGAAAACGACGTCGCATCGACGGGCGAGTTCTTGTGGAGAATCGGTGATATGGGCACCTTGGGATTGGAGAGACGAAGCTTTTGATGGTGTGCGAGCGTAGATGGTGAGGGAATAGCCGGCGGAGAGGAGGTGAGAAGCCATGGCTGCACCCATTATGCCTATCCCGATCCAGCCGATGCGGGTTTCGGCGGGGGAGATGGGTTTTGGATAGGGAGTTTCCATGGAGATTGGCGAGAGATGGAGCCGGTTGTTGTATATGTGAAAAGAGGTAGTGACTACTGACTGATGACAGTAGCCGAGGAAAGAAATTCAGGAGATTTTTTGGCTTGGTAATTCCAACACTAGCTCGCACGTGCAAAGTAATTGCACGTTTCAGTTGGGCAAAATGGTAACACGGGCAAAATGGCGTCATTTATCAAATGATCCGCTGTGTGCCTTGTGCATTTATTGCGTGAATGTCAATTTACTAATGCTATTTGGCTACGCTAATTACCTCAAGGACTTCATGGCTTTTTTTATGAATCGAGAATGGCTAATGGCTTCGCTTTCAATCCCTCTCGGCATAAACTAGTGATTAACGATGTCCCCGGGGTAATTATCTTTGGTATTACTTACTGGTACATATTGAAATG